TTTGTATACACTTTAATTTAAATTTTATTTCTTTTGTTTTTTACATACTTGTTTTTCACTTTTTTAAACTCTAAATGATATTTGTTGTGTTAATTAATGCAAGGTTAAGATTATTAGGTTTACTTCCTTTTATGACAAAGTTATAAAGAAATATCAGCAATTTTGTGACATTATTTCACAAATTTATGAAAAAAACTGAAAAACATTGTGACCATTAGCTAAAAACATTTTTTTGCAATAATTTTTTATTTTATTTTATGCTTTTTACTTTTTGTGTTGTTTTATTATTAATATTTGTCTTGTTGTTTGTTTTTCTATTAACAGTAACATTTATAGAAAGTGGCAATAAAAATTAGTAGTCCTTGATCTGTACAGTCTCGAACGTTGCACTGAATAATTAACTTTCAACAATATTAATAACTTGTGTTTGCTATTTCATTAATCTACCGTTTCCAGTTTTGTTAAACCACTTTATAAATTATATGAATAGCTGAAAAAACAAAAAATAAATATATCTTGAAATAATGAAATGTTAATTCTTGCATTCGCAAAACTTGGTTTGAAAACTAGTTTTGATCCTTGTTGGTCTAAAACTACCAAAATTGCTAATCAAAATTGCGTAAAAACTCCGGATTTGATATTTCTTCCGGAGACTTCAACGTGGGATCAAGCGACGAACCGGCAGCCTTGAACCCGTTTCATGATTTAACTCCCGATTTCAGAGAGAGTGAAATAAGATGTCCGGAGTTTTATGTAATTCCGGTGCATTAGAGTGACATTCTTACACGAGTTTCTCATCGCAATTACTGAAAAATGTCTCGAAAGTGGATGTGCGATTTCCGGAGGTTAAAGACTCGAATTTCTCAGAAAAATTGACGAAAAATGACCAAAGATCAATCTTTGCTCATTAAAATTCCGCGAGCTTTTTTGRCGCAATGAAAGTCACAATTTAGAAATTTCGATGATTTATTGCGCAAAGTTCAAGGTCGGTGATTTAATTTACTTTTGGGATGAAACCATTAGAAATCGTCTTGTTTCGAAATCAATTCTGGTGTGCTCAAAGAATCGAAAACCTTGAACGGATTTTATCGCGTCTTCCGATATGCACCTGTTGTGATAACAATTGCAATTCTCCCAAATTGATGGCCTTTTTAGATCTCGGAGGAAATCGAGCCACAAATTGCAACGGCCTCACTCCAAATACGTCCCTTCGGGCCCAAATTGCGGCCTTGGTGGGAAGGTGAGCTAGTTGAAATCGAAATTTCGAACACGATCGAAATTTTTGCACAAATTCTTTAGATAATTTCTTGCAAAAATTTTAATAGAGATAAAGACCGCGCCCTATTAGCCTTAATTGCCACACGTGGACAACAATATCAATTTTCTAATTTAACTAATTTTTTTTCAAAACACGCTTTTTTTTGAAAGAATTATTAGAACCCAAAAATTTTTTAATCCATTTTGATTCAGAATTTTTTTTATAATTTTGAACTCAAAAATATTGCAATCAGTTTATATTTTATGTAGTGAAAGTGAGCACTTTTTTACTTTTTTGCCATGAAGTAAAAATTCTATTTTTGCGCCTAAGCGTTTTTACTTTTACTAATTACCAATAGAATGTTCATTGTAGATCATCAACTTTCGACATTTTGCACTACCAACTGTACTAGTTAAATTAATAAATACGTTCAAAAATTAACACAAATTCGATATTGACACGTGATGTTTTTTATGACTTCATTACTTGATTATGTTGTTCAGTTACTTGCTAATTTATAGTGTTGCTCTTTACGCTCGATCTGAATACGTTTGCGGATTAAATAATATAAGTTATTTGTCATGTGGRTCAGCTGAATTATTTAAAAACGTATAGTTTCGCCACATAAACTCACTTTTACTCCTAATAACATAATATACTATTTCTTATTAATTTCAAATTTAACTCTCTAATTACATTTTTTTGTAATTAAATTACTAGTGTCTCCTTAGTATTATTTYTAGTCATAAAAAACTTAAAATTTCTTAAATAAAAACTCATAATTTTTTAATAAATTAGATGTTCGAATTCTGAATCTTGWTTCAGAATTTTTTTTATAATTTAAAACTCAAAAATTTTGCAATCAGTTTATATTTTATGTAGTGAAAGTGAGCACCTTTTTACTTTTTTTTAGCCATGAAGAAAAATTCTATTTTTGCGCCTAAGCGTTTTTATTTTTACTAATTACCAATGAAATGTTCATTGTAGATCARCAACTTTTGACATTTTACACTACCAACTGCACTAGTTAAATTAATAAATACGTTCAAAAATCAACACAAATTCGATATTGACACGTGATGTTTCTTATGATTTCATTATTTGCAAATCCTCTTGTTTATTTTGTTCAGTTCAGCTTCGTCTCTTAAACTCACTTTTTCTCCTAATAACATAATATACTATTTCTTATTAAAATCAAATTTAACTCTCTAATTACAGTCTTTTTCGTAATTAAATTAGTGTCTCGTTGGTATTATTTATAGTCATAAAAAACTTAAAATTTCTTAAATAAAAGCTCATAATTTTTTAATAAACTAGATGTTCGAATAAGAGTACAAAAAATTGAGTTTTTTAATAAATTTATTAATTAATA